TTGCCATGGCACGATCTACATATCTTGTGGAAGTCAGAACTGGTGTACCAAATACACTGCTAGTAGGCCCTGGTGTTCTTGGTTCAGATTCAGAAGGAATTCTGAAAAGACCCCTCCCCCTACCAAGTCGGCTACTTTGGTCAAATGACACTTTGTCGTCCACCTCAAATTTACTGACACCCTCAGCCATGTTTTTTCTAATGTGTTAATCAATTAACTTCAACAGAGAAATAAACGAACAAAAATATTTCTCTGAACAGCATAAGCTAAAGACAATAAGCAATAAGCAATTAATTGGTTGAAAGTCTTAATTTGAATTGATGCAGTGATTCCTTGAGAGAGAGAGAAAAAAAAAAGTCCACTCCGCTTCAATATAATATAGTTCTTCAGTCCTTGGAAAAAAAAATACCTAAAACCAGTCACTGCAGCCTCCACCGGCGAACGAACAGGCGTCGGTCTTTGGATGGATCCTTAAAGGTCACGGCACCATTGTAACGAGCCCCACGTGATGGGACTCCACTCTGCGTTGTGTTGTGTTGTGTTGACGAATTCAATAAAGAAGCTTCAACCCTCTTGCTGTATAGCACGGTCTTTATTTTCTGCACAAATGAGAAATGTTGTAAACATTTATATTTCGTGGCTCTCTTCAGCTAATAGCTTAGCACCATTTGATGGCTCGTCGAGCCACGAGATAACCTCCTCTCGGCTCAGCATGAAGTGAACTGAGTGAACCGTTTTATATTTCAAAACACATTTAGTTAACTTGCTTAGTATTAAGCTAACAAAACACAAACATGTCAAAAAATAATCACAAAAGTTGTACACAACATAACATACCTGCACAAATGAGAAATGTTGTAAACATTTATATTTCGTGGCTCTCTTCAGCTAATAGCTTAGCACCTGTTGGCAAATGGAGTAAATGAGCCACGACAAAACTATCTTCAATAGTCACAAATATACATTTGTATAATCCCACATTGCAACGAATGTTTAACAACCCCAGAAACAGATTAGATGCAAAACATATCAAATATCAGCAATATTACCATTTGATGGCTCGTCGAGCCACGAGATAACCTCCTCTCGGCTCAGCATGAAGTGAACTGAGTGAGCAAGCCGAGCGGAGCGCGCCAGAACAAGTATGTACTCTTAAAGCAACAATGCACTTCAACAAATGTGCAACAAATCATATACATCTCGACTCAGAAAACAAAATAGTCCATACAATTATATAAAAGAAACAAGATTACATTTAAATTAAACAGGAGGATTTTGAGTGAAAATAACAACTAAAATAACCTTGTTACATGTGTGTGTAACGTTGCTTGTGTATGTGAGTGTGTGGAGCACTGTGTGTTTACTTAAGCGTGTGGAATGTTGTGTGTGTGTGTGTGTGTGGAGCGTTGTGTGTGTGTAGCGTTGTGTGTGTGTATTTGTGCATGTGGAGCGTTGTGTGTGTGGAGCGTTGTGTGTGTGGAGCATTGTGTGTGTGGAGCGTTGTGTGTGTAGAGCGTTGTGTGTGTAGAGCGTTGTGTGTGCGGAGCGCTGTGTGTGAGGAGCGTTGTGTGTGTGGAGCGTTGTGTGTGTGGAGCGTTGTGTGTGTGGAGCATTGTGTGTGTGGAGCGTTGTGTGTGTGGAGCATTGTGTGTGTGGAGCGTTGTGTGTGTGGAGCGTTGTGTGTGTGGAGCGTTGTGTGTGAGGAGCGTTGTGTGTGTGGAGCGTTGTGTGTGTGGAGCGTTGTGTGTGTGGAGCGTTGTGTGTGTGGAGCGTTGTGTGTGTGGAGCGTTGTGTGTGTGGAGCATTGTGTGTGTGGAGCGTTGTGTGTGTAGAGCGTTGTGTGTGTGGAGCGTTGTGTGTGAGGAGCGTTGTGTGTGAGGAGCGTTGTGTGTGTGGAGCGTTGTGTGTGTGGAGCGTTGTGTGTGTGGAGCATTGTGTGTGTGGAGCGTTGTGTGTGTGGAGCATTGTGTGTGTGGAGCGTTGTGTGTGTGAAGCGTTGTGTGTGAGGAGCGTTGTGTGTGTGGAGCGTTGTGTGTGTGGAGCGTTGTGTGTGTGGAGCATTGTGTGTGTGGAGCGTTGTGTGTGTGGAGCGTTGTGTGTGTGGAGCGTTGTGTGTGTGGAGCGTTGTGTGTGTGGAGCATTGTGTGTGTGGAGCGTTGTGTGTGTGGAGCATTGTGTGTGTGGAGCGTTGTGTGTGTGGAGCATTGTGTGTGTGGAGTGTTGTGTGTGTGTGTGTGTGTGGAGCGTTGTGTGTGTGTAACCTTGCGTGTGTATGTGAGCGTGTGGAGCATTGTGTGTGTGGAGCATTGTGTGTGTGAAGCGTTGTGTGTGAGGAGCGTTGTGTGTGAGGAGCGTTGTGTGTGTGGAGCGTTGTGTGTGTGGAGCGTTGTGTGTGTGGAGCATTGTGTGTGTGGAGCGTTGTGTGTGTGGAGCATTGTGTGTGTGGAGCGTTGTGTGTGTGGAGCATTGTGTGTGTGGAGTGTTGTGTGTGTGTGTGTGTGTGGAGCGTTGTGTGTGTGTAACCTTGCGTGTGTATGTGAGCGTGTGGAGCATTGTGTGTGTGGAGCATTGTGTGTGTGGAGCATTGTGTGTGTGTAACGTTGCGTGTGTGGAGCATTGTGTGTGTGGAGCGTTGTGTGTGTGGAGCGTTGTGTGTGTGGAGCGTTGTGTGTGTGGAGCATTGTGTGTGTGGAGTGTTGTGTGTGTGTGTGTGTGTGTGTGTGTGTGTGTGTGTGTGTGTTTGTGTGAGCGAGTGTGTGTGAAAGAGAGTGAGTGCGGGTGGAACGTTGTGTGTGTGTGTGTGTGTGTGTGTTTGTGTGTGTGTGTGTGTGTGTGTGTGTGTGTGTGTTTGTGTGTGTGTGTGTGTGTGTGTGTGTTTGTGTGTGTGTGTGTGTGTGTGTGTGTGTGTGTGTGTGTGTGTGTGTGTGTGTGTGAGAGAGTGTGTGTGAGAGAGTGTGTGTGAGAGAGTGTGTGTGAGAGAGTGTGTGTGAAAGAGAGTGAGTGCGGGTGGTCGTGGGAGATCGCGGCTCGTCCGACTGCCATTAATCACGGTCGACGGCGCTCTAGTTTTCTATCTGCATGTGAAAGGAAACGCACACATTGTGTATGCCTGTGACTGGTGTCATTATTCCAGGCCTGAGAGAGTTCCTCTGAACATCATAAATGAAATGGAAACAACCACTTTTCTCCTCGAGTGAGTAACGCCTGTGGAGATCGTCCTCTACCCATCCTCACAGAAGAAGAGAAACACAAACTTTTAGAATTTTAGAAATACAATTTAAAAAGTTTTTCTTTCTAGTTTTTCAGCAAGACAGGGACACTTGCGTGTCAACGATATTTTATCTATAATGTGTTTTGGGTTTGAAAGAACTACAGAAACATCAACAGCATCATGACATTCTGGCACATAAAAAGCCACGAACATTTTCAGAAGATTACTGTTATAAAACCGAGCCTCGTCTGAAAGGCAGGAGGTGTTGCTGTAGCTTATAGTAATATCTTCAGTATTACTGAGAAGTCTAGTTTCAAATATAATCATTTTGAAGTGTTGGTGCTTAATGTAACACTCTCTAGTGTAAGTGATAAATCCCGCTGGACATTTGCGCTGGCTACTGTATACAGGCCACCAGAACACCATACAGACTTCATCAAAGAGTCAGAGTTAGTATTGGCTGCAGATAAAGTCCTAATTGTTGGTGATTTTAATATACATGTAGATAATGAAAAAGATCCATTGGGATTGGCATTTAAAGATATTCTGAACTCTATTAGAGTTAGACAACACGTGTCAGGACCTACTCATTGTCGTAATCATACTCTAGATCTAATATTATCACATGGAATCAATGTTGATGCCGTTAAAATTCTGCAGCAGAGCGATGACATCTCAGATCATTATCTAGTCTAGTGTAAACTTCATTTAGCCAACGACTCCGTGTTCCAAATATGGTAGACCTATCACTCCTGCCACTAAAGATTGCTTTATAAATAATATTACTGATCAGTTTTATCTCCTCAGCATCCCAGATAGCTTAAGATGAACTCGGTGTTGCAACAAACTATTGACTCTCTCTTTTCCAGTACTTTAGACACAGTTGCTCCTTTGCGCTTAAAGAAGATAAAGAAAATAGTCCAACGCCGTGGTACAACGAGCACACACACACACACACACACACAAACACACACACACACACACACACACACACACACACACACACACACACACACACACACTCAGGCCCTTAAGAGAGCACAACTGGAAGAAAACTAAACTAGAGGTTTTTCGCATTTCGTGGAAAGACAGCATTAGTGCTTACAGAGAGGCCTTAAAAACTGCCAGATCTGCTTATTTTTCAACACTCTTAGAAGAAAATAAAACCCTAGGTATTTATAAATAAAAATTAAACCTCTTATTAATAAAACCGGAACTTGATTCTACAGAATTAGTCAATTAGAGGCCGATCTCGAAATCTGCCTTTTCTGTCAAAGATACTAAAGGCAGTCTCCTCTGCAAAGCTCCAGTTCTCCTCTATATCAGTGTCAGTGTTCCTGAACTCCTGAAACGCCTCCATTGTAGTCTTGAGTTTCTCCCGGGAACGAACACGTCACAATATTCCTCATTATAATAATTCATACGCAGAATAAAGGGGCGGGGCCTGGTTGAGTTAGTTAGTTGTGTGTTAAACTGGCGGTTATGGAAAGGGCTGGGACTTTCCCAAACACACTCGAAGCGCTCGGCCAATCACAACACACTGCTCCAGCCGACCAATCAGAGCACAGTGTGCTTTTCAGGAGGAGGGGCTTCATAGAGACAGGAAGTAAACAGAGCGTTACTGACAGACTGGGAAGAGAGGAGCCGCAACAATGGAGAATATGAGGAGAATAATGTGTTTTTGAACATTCAAGCATGACATCCATATTATATTGTATTGATAACATTGAGGTTTTATCTCACTAAGGATGAGCTGACGTCACAGATATTGTTGTGTGTGTGTTTCCAGGCGTGATGTCAGACAGACAGTTCGGGACTCAGTTCGTGTGCAGTGTGGTGGCGTCTCACGTCAGTCATCTTCCCTCCACCAGCCTGAGCTTCATCTGGATCGCTCCTCCACCCGGCACAGGCTGCGTCAACTTCATGTGAGTCACTCACACCACAACTACAGCTCATGGCATGAGGAAATCTCTGAACACATCTGACACGAGGCAGATTCTTCACGAGTGAGTGAGTCCTAAAGGGTCGTCACACTGTGTTTGCATTAAACATGCGAAGCTTCCAGAAACCAAACGTGCATCAGTTTCAGATCAACAGAAGGCCAGTTCTTCCAAAGCAGACAAAAGACCTTATCAAGACCTTATCAAAAGCTCCACACATACAGTATAGATGTCAGTCTAGGTGAGGAAACAGCTCAGGTGTGAGGGATTATGTTGCCCTTCATGTGCTATCAGAATTATCATAAATACATAGACATGAATGACCTCTCAAGTCATATGTAGGACTGGGAAATGTGGTGATAATTATGAGACCAGAGTTTCTGTGGTGACTGTGAAGTTGTATTCAACTAGTTACAGACTTGTATATTTACATACTGCATATAAATAACCATTTGATGCATATTGTATGTAATTTACATAGCATGTTTTGGCCTGGAATTCCAGCATAAAATGTTATTGTGCAGATACACTACATCCTGATATCAAGGATACATCTGTAGACTTCCAGCTCATATGGAGGCCGGCGGTCGGTAATAATAGCAGAGATGTTGTTTGCTGTGAACTATAGGCGTGCGCTCAGAGAACACAGATGGCGACAGATCGTCTACATGTCAACGATGTTCTGTCAGGACACGCTTCCAGAGCGACAGCCTTCAGCAGACGTCCTTTAAAGAGCCGTTCTCCGCACTGTGACTTCACAGCTTTCCCTGTGTGTGTCAGGCTCACAAATCTGTGTCCGCGGGTCAGCGGATCTGTGTGTGTGTGTGTGTGTGTGTCCGTGTCTCTCCGCCGTTCGCCACTTTCAGAGTTTATGTCGGTGTTTCTGAGCATTCAAGGCCGTGTGTTCAGTCATTCATAACCCTGCCATGAAGCCATGATGGGAAAAGGCCGCTTTGCCTCTGAGGCGGCGAGTGTTTAGGCATTTCTCTTATTACGATTAATTGACATGGAATGGAGTCCGGGCTGTTAGTGATGGACCATCTGTTCAGGGCAGGCTGTGTTCTGGATCACGCAAAACACTCTCGTTCTGTGTGCGTATTGTTATTCCCCTTTCCTGGAAAAAGTCGATCATATATATTGTCTTTGGCTTTATAAACAAATGCCATATGAGGGAACTGGGGCAAGATAAAATGACTGAAGAAGTGAGATTGATCGAATGAAAGACACAAAGAGAGTTTCCATTGTTTCATTCTGGAAGTTGAGCTCGACAGCCAGCGAACATTTATTTAACTGTGAAATTCACAAACAACTGAAAAGTTTTTGCTATAAAGGCTTTATGATACAGAAATATATTCCTAAACGGTGTATAGACTGACAGTATGTGTTCCTCTGTGAGAAAAGTAGTGCACGTTGAATGTGCTCTTACTTCAAATATTTAAAGTATATTTTTTAAAAACTGAACTTATAGGAACTTAAAGACAGCACACTTTCATTCATTCACATCATTATGTTTGAACTCTTTCCCCGCCATTGACAGAATTTTCCAGCTATCCGTGTTTTCACTGTTGTACAGTAGGGGGCGCTATTACTTATGATGAGTTCAGAATCTCCTGATCAAAACACAGGCGAAGAAGAAGCAGAAACGAGCGATAGAAGCATTGCTGACGCACATGTAAAATATACTATCCTCAATATTAAACAGGATATAAATCAAAACTCAATGTTCCTGAATGAAATGTTGAACCCATGACTCGATCTTCTCCATCTGTGTTTGATCATCGCTCCGGACGAACACTTTGACAAAAACACTGAGTTCACGTTTAAGTTCAATATAAAGCGTTGAACTTTAGTTTCACTTCATACGCTCAGGGAAGTCAGACTGCCTTAATGCTCTTGTTTGTAATGAGCTGTTAACTGTTGTCAAGGTCATTTCATTCTCACCTTTCCTTGAATGACGTGCAGTGACCCGCTGTGATGAGCAGGTGATTTGCCACCCGCTCCCTGGAAGCCTCTTCTAAACGCTCATTAAATCTGCATGCGCCGAGGGAGCGCTTCCTCGCCACAACAAACGCTTCCTCGTCCGCTATTCATTTGACAACACGCGTAATTTGATCAGCGGAGGCTGAGACTCTCGTCTTTCCCAGTAAATGAGATAAGAGGAGAGGAAGGGAGGCTAAATATTGTTTTCCCTGTTGCTGATGGATCACTCGTCAGCCGCCGCAGCTGCAGCGCAACACAGCCGATCAATCAGACAATTACACCATTATTTTAAAGGCTAAATCCAAACGTGCAGAAAGAGTGTGTGTAACACTGGCTGATTCCCGGTATTAATCATGATTAGAGCTGTGCGATGATGTTCAGGGGTTCAGCAGCAGATGTTCTGCGGATGTTCCAGCGATAGGGTGTGTGTGTGTGTGTCTGTGCATCAGTTCCACACACGTGTGTGTGTGTGTGTGTGTGTGTGTGTGTGTGTGTGTGTGTGTGTGTGATCGTGTGTGACGGGGTCAGAGGTCACAGGGGGTTTGGATGGTCTAACTGTCAGACGTGTGTGTGCTGCGGGCCGGAAACATGTAATCACACAACAGCATTCAGCATAATAACCTGTTTCTGATGTGTGTGTGTGTGTGTGTGTGTGTGTGTAAGAGCATTCAGCATAATTACCTGTTTCCAGAAGCTTCTGACTGACTTTCTGTTGCTTTATTTACATGTACGTGTGTGTGTGTGTGTGTTTATGTGAATGTGTGTAATTGTGTGTGTGTGTGTGTGTGTGTGTGTGTGTGTGTGTGTGTGTGAATTTGCGAGTGTGAATTTGAGTGTGTGTGTGTGTGTGTGTGTGTGTGAATTTGAGTGTGTGTGTGTGTGTGTGTGTGAATTTGTGAGTGTGAATTTGAGTGTGTCTGTGTGTGTGTGTGTGTGTGTGTGTAAATTTGTGAATTTGTGAGTGTGAATTAGACTGTGTGTGTGTGTGTGTGTGTGTGTGTGTGTGTGTGTGTGTGTGTGTGTGTGTGAATTTGTGAGTGTGAATTTGACTGTGTGTGTGTGTAAATGTGTGAATTTGTGAGTGTGTGAATTAGACTGTGTGTGTGTGTGTGTGTGTGTGTGTGTGTGTGAATTTATGAGTGTGAATTTGAGTGTGTGTGTGTGTGTGTAAATTTGTGAATTTGTGAGTGTGAATTAGACTGTGTGTGTGTGTGTGTGTGTTTGAATTTGTGAGTGTGAATTTGAGTGTGTGTGTGTGTGTGTAAATTTGTGAATTTATGAATTTGTGAGTGTGAATTAGACTGTATGTGTGTGTGTGTGTGTGTGTGTGTGTGTGTGTGTGTGTGCGTGTGTGTGTGTGTGTGTGTGTGTGTGTGTGTGTGTGTGAATGTGTGTGTGTGTGCGTGTGTGTGTGTGTGTGTGTGTGTGTGTGTGAGTGAGTTACCAGCTGAACTGGAGGACGATAAACAACTACAAAGCGTATTTAAACAGGGCTGGTGACAGTAATTGCTGCTGTCACACAGAGATGGTAAGTGAAGAAGAGGAGAGCAGTTTCTCCAGAGACACGAGTGAGTAGTGATAGATGTAATAAAGTCTGCTCTGTTTACATCGTTCTGGCTATGAGAGAGAGTAATGTAGAGGACACAGGGAAAGTGCGCAGGTTGTTAGGATTGCATTATATTAGTAATAGTAGGATTTGGTATTAGTAATATATACTCTTATACTCTTATTTATTCCTTCACCTATATACTCCTTCACCTATATACTCCACCTATATACCCCTATATACTCCACCTATATACTCCTTCACCTATATACCCCTATATACTCCACCTGTATACTCCTTCACCTATATACCCCTATATACTCCACCTATATACTCATTCACCTATATACTCCACCTATATACTCCTTCACCTATATACCCCTATATACTCCACCTATATACTCATTCACCTATATACTCCACCTATATACTCCACCTATATACTCCTTCACCTATATACCCCTATATACTCCACCTATATACTCCTATATACTCCTTCACCTATATACCCCTATATACTCCACCTATACACTCCTTCACCTATATACTCCTTCACCTATATACTCCTATATACTCCACCTATATACCCCTTCACCTATATACTCCTATATACTCCACCTATATACTCCTTCACCTATATACCCCTATATACTCTACCTATATACTCCTTCACCTATGTACTCCTATATACTCCACCTATATACTCCTATATACTCCACCTATATACTCCTTCACCTATATACCCCTATATACTCCACCTATATACTAGGGCTGGACGATTTTGGCTAAAATCATAATCGCGATTAATCGAACAAGTTACCTAGATTACGATCATTTAAAAAAAAATTCTTTCTCATTTGTCACTGGCCAGGCTTATACTGTAAATATGTTCATGGTTATTTTTTCTAATGAAAGAGTGCATAATCTTATCTTTGTGATTCTAAAATAAGGAAACACACAGATAGCTTTTAATGCTTATTTATTAAATATTTCAAACATTTGAATCAAACAAAGCATACAATGCTTGAAATAAAAACGTCTTATAAAAAAGTCATTAAGTTTTAATGTAAAAAGAAAGTTTCCTAAAAATGTAGAAAATAGTTATTTTTGTAAACAAAATAAACTATTTTAAATATTGCCATCTTAAAAGTAAAATATAACTTGTATAAAACTAAAAAAACTAATCCTTTTCATATTGTGTAGCATTTGCAAATGCTTGTGTTATCGAAACCTGCTTTGTGGAGTGGACAGTGGAGGCACTTGTTGCTGGGCGTTTGTCAGTCTCTCTGTTTTTCGCGTGTTTCTTTGGTACAAGCGGCTCCTGTTGCTGAGTTGACTCAGTGTTTGAGTTTCCTTTCACACAGAGATTCCAGAAAATACACGGATAAAGTGACCCGGGATTTGACCCGGGTTCGTTTGACTTTGGTTCATTCACACTGCCAGTGATTTTCCGGAATCA